TTATTTCCAACAAAAGCAGGACTTTCTGCAAACCACCGGGTCATGACCGTAGCCTCTTCAGCTCTGCCTCCTTCGTTGGCCCACTCTTCACATCTCTGCCTTGCAAAAAGAGCACATGTGCAGGATTTGAGGATGAATAGATACGGAAAATATCGGGAAAGGAGGCCTAGGCTGTAGAACATGTCAAATTTACTGCAATGCAAAGCCTGTGCAGTTCCCTGTGTCAGCTATTTCAGCGGCAACCCTGTTGATTTGCAACACATCGAATTCTTTTCACGTCCACTTGCCCGTCCTCGAAGGAAATTACAGTGCCAGGCAAAGTCCCAGATTCATTTCCTGCCAATTTCACGCGCCAGCCTTTTTCAATGGCCGGAATGACTCATCATCTCATCAAAGTTATTTTGGATAGATGACTTCTTGTTTCACTCCCACTGCGAGTGTATCAGTTTTATGATTATGCTGTATTTTGCAGGACCAAGTCAGCCAACCCGAAAACACTCTTCTCCGTTGAGACTACGCAATCCCTTGGAACGTGCCTTCCACTGGCGGAAAGGATTTGTGATGGAGCAAAGCTCAACATCCTCCTGTTTGCGCGGAAGTTTGGGCATGGTGAAACATGCAGCAAAGCTTGCGGAAGACGCAAGAAACGCGTTGACGTCAGTGCATTCTGGGCGCTGCCCCATGCTAGTCGGAAGTTAATGTCTTGAAGCATCAGCATCTTGTTTAGTTTGCAGAATCGAATGAGGAATGCTGTCTTGGTCATCACAGCCTCACCAACTCGACACCACTTGGTGCTAGGGGCGCCCACCTTGCCAGCGTTGGAGACTCGGAAGATCACAAATTTCCCTCCTTCCTGCCGACAGTCTTTGGTGCACAACCAGGACTTACGCTGTTCAGTAGTCGTTGACCATGTCGCCTGGAAAACCTACAACCTCAAGAGAGTACTTCTTTTTCCTTCTTCCCAAGCGTATGGCGAGCGACTCATGCTCTTGTATCTTTCCACCTCTAAAGCTCAACATGTACAGGTTCTATTGCTCATGTCCAATGTGATGCTTCTTTTAGAGTTGTGTGTGCCCAAATGGCCAATTGGGCCTCTAAAACCTGACTCAGATTGGATCAGCTGATGCCGAAATTGGTCAACTCTAGTCCTTCTGAGCAAAGGTCCATTCCCTGTAACTCATCCTCGGTGCCACAACACCCTCAAACTGACTGGCGTGCTTGGGAGAGTTCTATCGGGAGCACAAACTCCAAAACGTGCTTGGAAACTGTGAAAGGTGATGCCACAAGAGGTAGGTAGTCTGGAAGTGACTCTGCTCGGTGGTATGGGTGGGCAGAGGTTAGGCAGAGGTTCACGAAATCCAAACCGCTGCGTCTCTGGGTTTGAGGTCCTTGTGGTGTTTCAAGACAGTTCCACCTATCAATTCTTCGGGGAACATCTACGCGCTGCTCTTAAAATGTGCAGCAATTGACTACTTATTCTGCTTCGCCAGCATCCTCACAACAACGTGCCCTACAAACTCAACAAGCTCCTCTGCTCAAAACACAAACAGTCCGCTAGCATGAGTGGTTGCTCCCGGAGCAGACTTAGCGGAAACAAGGTAGACAAATTGGAGCACCTGGCATCAACGACCTACCCTTCTTTATGCTGCCAGGACTCTCAAACAGCTGCTTGTCCTGCCGCAAACGTTTACAGGGGAAGCCCAGGTTCAAAGGACCAGCGACAGCAGTACAAATAGTACAGTACAGTATATATGTTGTCTCCAGGAACGAAATTGTCCAACATGTTCCACGGACCCAAGCTGAACGTGAACGCAAGGAAAAACATAGATTGCGGTTCAAGTTCAATGCTTTCATCCCTCTCTCCTTGGCTCTCGATGTCTTGACCTCCACGTAGGCATCCACGTCACCATCGCCATCCTCACGAAACCGATGCACAGTGTGAAGGTGTGACGAAGAAAAACCTGACATATGCAATCCAATGTTCTATGCGCCTCCACCCACAAAATATCTTTAGAAAAAACATCTTGGGTTCAGGCGACTTTCTTTCACAAGAGGTCTTTGTCGTACTCTGCAAGAGTCCAAAATGTGCTTTGACCAATTTGGGCACCAAAGGTGATCTCTTTGGCTCCTCAATGCGCAAGTCATACTGGAAGCCAGTCTCCTCTATCTCATTGACCCACACAACCCGCCTGAATCCCAGAGGTGACACGTGCTGGGATGTGCTCAAGTTGACAAGCTTTGCTGGGCATCTACTGTAACAGTACCGATGATTCGACATAGCCCATGGTGCCACAGGACGTGCTATAGAGGGAGTACTTCACTGTCCCCATTCGCAGTTTATCTGAGCTGAAGACTTTGCAGTGTCCTGGCGAACGCAACATGGAGAGGATGGATGAGTCCAGCATGATCGAGGACATGCTAGGATTTCTGACAATTTCCAAGAATCCGACCAGTGCGCACGACTTGAAATATATCCCAAATCTATCCAAATCTTGAAATCAACACGTTAGCGAGACGACTGACATGTATTCTTCTCGGATGACTATTCACATCTGTGGCTCGGCTCCATGAACTCACAAACGCATCCTCATTTTTTTTTACTCTTTAAGTAAGTTCACTCTGAATCCGACAAACATGACGCCTCGGACTCCAACTTTTGCTTCAAGTAGTTGTAAACAAACCTTGGCACGCGTCAGCAACACAGCACAGGAACGCATTAAATACGTTCTGGATTTCTCAGGATCAAAAAGCATGTAGGCTCCTCATTCAACCAAGTCAAACCATGGCCGAGATGCTCTTCTCCCCAGCGACCCACCTTTTCTCGCTCCTGACAGCTCAAGTCATGACGAGTATTTGGTCGTTGTTCATAAGCGGGGTAAGTAGCAGGGCTCCTTCCAGGTGAAATACTACGGAGCAACCCCCGAAGCGAAACA